ATCACAGAATGGAGGACAATGGCTAGAAGGGCCACATCAAGCAATTCACTGCAACCAGTTAATACTACTATTATTCAAATCTATGCACCAACCACCAAAGCCAATGAGGAAATTGAAGATTTCTACCAACTTCTACAATGTGAAATTGACCTAACATTCAGTCAAAATGTGCTGATTATCACTGCTGACTGGAATGCAAAAGTTGGAAACAAAGAAGAGTTACCAGTAGTTGGAAAATATGACCTTGGTGATAGAAATAATGCTGGAGGTTGCATGATAGAATTTTGCAAGAGCAATGACTTATTCATTGGAAATATCTTTTTGCAACAACATAAGCGATGACTATACACATGGACTTCATCAGCTGGAATACACAGGAATCAGATTGACTGTATCTGTGGTAAGAGGCAATGGAGAAGTTGGCCAAAACCAGGCCAGGAGCTGACTGTGGAACAGACTATCAACTGCTTATATACACATTCCAGTTGAAGTTGAAGACAATTAAAACAAGTCTATGAGAGCCAAAATATGACCTTGATAATATCCCTCCTGAATTTGTTGTTATGTGCTGTGGAGTTGGACCCAACTCATAGCGCCCCCTCTTTGGGTTTCCAAAGCAGTATCACTATGGAAGTAGATTGCCCAACCTTCCTTCCAAGGAGTGGCTGGCGGGTTTGAACCGCCAGCCTTCTGGTTAGCAGTCAAGTGCCTTAGGCACTGCACTGCACTACTCCTCTCCTGAATTTAGAGACCATTTAAAAATAGATCTGATGCACTGAACACCAGTGACGGAAAACCAGAGGAATTGTGGGATGGAATCAAGATCATCATCCATGAAGAAAGCAAGAGGTCATTAAAAAGATAAGAAATGAAAGACAAAAATGGATGTCAGAAGAAACTTGACCTTGAGCAGAGTAGCTGTGTCAGACTGGGTTCTCTAGAGAAACAAAAACCAGCAAAGCTTATATATATATATATAAAGAGAGAGAGAAATTTATCTTAGGAAAATGGCTCACAAACGTATAGAAGCCAGCAAGTCCAAAGTCCCTGGAGCAAACGTCAGGCTGGAGGCTTTTCCCCGCAGGGGCCGAGAAGCTCAAGGCTGGCAGGCAGTACGCTGGCTGTTGACTCCAACGAATGATGAATCCAAGATCTCCAGGCCTAACGGTGGACTGCTCACTCACGGACAGTTGTAGGCAGCACAACAGAATCCCGATCCACAGAAGAATGTCTCTCTTCCCAGGATGTCCCTGAATATCCTGGAAGCAGGCTACACCCCTAGGGAAACTTCCCTTGAACAGACTGGCCACTCAGAACACAGTCATCCGATCCCATCATGGGAACAACCACACAGAACAGGGTTCCAGCCAAGTTGACACACAGCTCCAACTGTCACAGTAGCTAAAGCAAATGGAAGAAATGACAAGATAAAAGACCTGAACACATTTCAAAGAGCAGCTTGAGCAGAAAAAGCCCATTATTCTAATTAAATGTGCAAAAATCGGAGTTAGAAAACCAAAAGGGAAGAACATACTCAGCATTTCTCAAGCTGAAAGAACTGAAGGAAAATATAAGCCTTGAGTTTAAATATTGAAAGAGTATATGGATAATATATTGAATGATGCAGGAAACATCAAAAGAAGATGGAAGGAGTATCTGTGAATGAGGCTCGTCAGGAGGGAGGAGGAAAGGGAAGGGAAAGACCTCACCCTTCCTCCTCCCTCCCTGGAGTGGAGATTCCGCTCTGGTCTGATGTAGCCAGAAAGCAGGGCTCCCTCACCATGCATTAGCCACATGGAAGACTTCTTCCTGGGAGGAGCAGGAATTGAGTGTTTCTCATCTTCCCAACTGCCTATTGCTGAAGCTTACACACCCTTGAAGAAACTCCCTTTCAACTGATTGGCTGCTCACAGGATATCTCATCATGGCAAACAAAAAAACCAGAGTCACTGCCATCGCGTCGATTCCAATTCAGAGTGACTGCCTTTGGGTTTCTGAGGCAGTGTATCTTTATGGAAGTAGATTGCCCTAGCTTCCTTCCATGGACTGGCTGGTGGGTTTGAACCACCAGCCTTCTGGTTAGCAGTGAGATGCCTTAGACACTATGCCAACAGAGTTCCTTTCTCATCATGGAGGTGATTACATTATATCTCATCATAGGGGATGACTAAATCATAATCGCTTAAACCACTTAGAATCATGGTCCAGCCAAGGTGACACACAACCTTAACTATTACAAGTAGTTTCTGTAACTGTGCCCCATATATGCTCTATTGTATATGAGTATACATGCAGCATTTACAATTATGTATAATTATCTACCACCATATTATGTATTTATGCAGATACAGTCTTGTATGACCTCCCTCACCCATTTAGCATATATATTTACTAAGGATCTACTCAGAAATTACTATTTATTACTGCTGTTAAAGAGTTGTATACATTATAGCATTTACTGTGGTGGTGGTATTGTTGTTGTTAGGTGTCATGGAGTCAGCTCACAAGTTGTTGACGAATCTTCCTCCAATGCTGATGCTGCATTCTTCTTCATATAATCCAGCTTCTCAGCATACAGATCGAATAAGTATGGTGAAAGAATACAACCCTGATGCACACTTGCATATGAGCAGTTGATGGTCTGTTCTACCCGCTCCTGGCCTTGTTTTGGCTGAAGATATTGAGCTTCTCCATCACCTCCTTCCACAAATATAGTCAATTTGATTCCTAGGTATTCCATCTGGTGAGGTCCACATGTATAGCTGTGTATGTTGTTAGAAAATGGTATTTGCAATGAGTAAGGTGTTGGTATTGCAAAATTGTATCATGTGATCTCCAGCATCATTTCTACCACCAAGGCCATATTTTCCAACTACTGGTGATTCTTCTTTGTTTCCAACTTTTGCATTCAAATCGCCAGTAATAATCAATACACCTTGATTGAATGTTTGGTCAATTTCAGACTGCAGAAGTTGGTAAAAATCCTTAATTTCCTCATCTTTGGCTTCAGTGATTGGTGTGTAAATTTGAATAGTAGTAGTATGAACTGGTCTTCCTTGTAGGCATATGGATATTATCCTATCACTGACAGCACTATACTTCAGAATAGATCTTGAAACATTCTTTGTCATGATGAATGTAATGCCATTCTTCTTCAATTGGTCATTCCAGGCATAGTAGATCATATGATTGATTCAAGATGGCCCGAACTAGTCCACTTCAGCTCACTAATGCCTAGGATATCAAATGTCATGAATTCCATTTCATTTTTGACATCTTCCAATTTTCCTAGATTCATACTTCGTACATTTCACATTCTGATTATTAATCGATGTTTGCAGCTGTTTTTTCCCATTTTGAGTCACAGCTCATCAGCAAAAGGAGGTCCCTAAAGCTTTACTCCAACCATGTAATTAAGGTCAACTTCACTTTGATGAGACAACCTTCCCCAATCATACTCTGAGTGCCTTCTGACCTGAGGGCCTCATCTTCTGGCACTATATCAGACACTGTTTCAAGGCTAGTCATAAAGTTTCCAGTAATATATCACACAATGTCTTACTGCTATGTATAAGGTTTTTACTAGCCAAGTCTTTGAGTGGATGGCCCCTTCCTTCTTCTGCATCTGTCTTAGTCTGGAAGCTCTGCTGAAACCTGTCCACCATGGGTGACCCTGCCGGTATTTGAAATACCAGTGGCATAGCCTCCAGCCTCACAGCAACATGCAAGCCGCCACAGTACAACAAACTGACAGACAGGTGGTGGAGCATTTATGGTGTGAGACCCCCTCCCCTCCAGGTAATTCTTCTTTAACTAGGAGCCATTAGTGCCGGGAACTCCAGCACGTCCCCCACGCCTCAGGGCTTTACCTCACAGAGCCCTAAAACCCCCTCCCCTCCTTTTCTACCCCCTAGCAACAACCAGTCAAAGGAGAGAGGGACCTCTTTGCTTTTGTGTTACTCCACCCTGTATTTTTCCTATAAAACTGTAATTGTAGTAGAGCACGGGGTCTTTTGCCCAAACCGCTGTGTCGGTGTAAGCGGAGACCCTAACTCGAGCTAGCCAATAAACTTTCCTTTTGCTTTTGCATTATCGTGTCAGTGGTAGCTTCCTCACGCCGACACTCCTTTCAAGACTTGGGACCAACAATGGTAGTTGTCCTTTATTCTTGAGTACTGCTCAGTTGTCTTCCTTTGCCTTGGTCACATTGTGCTGACTTCCCCCATATTGTGTATTGCCTTTTCCTTTTCCAGAACTAACTCTTGTCTGCTATCTAGTTAGTGATATATACAATTATATACATACACACACACACACACACACTGATAAATCTTATCCTAATTCTCAATTTTAAGGGAGACTGGTGATTTAAGAGCAGGAAGATATAGATAGACCCTATCACCCTAAAGTAGCTACTAATGAGCAATAAATGTTTCCATCACAATTTTTTAAAAGTGTATTTTTAAACTAACCAAAGGTAGAGATCTGTAGGTTGACACATCCCATCTATAATTAAGCTAAGGAGAGAATTAATTGAGCTACTTTCCAAGAATGTTCAACAGACATTTTAGTCAATCTTTGCTAGAGTTTATAATGAACATTTGTTCTTTAATAGTTACATTACAGTTTTCACCTTATGAGCTACAGAACATTTGGTGAACCAGATTAACACACTAGAAATAAAAATGAACACTCTAAGACACTCTGGAAAGATAGCAACTCCACTGACTCATGTTACACAACTGAACTGGGATATAATCGATCTATACATTCTATGAACCTATTGTCCCAATATGCATTATACCACATGAAGAGGGTCCTTGTCTGTCTCTGACAGGATAATATTAATCTTATTGTCCAAGTGACCACCCAGCATATCTCGAAGGTCAGAAAGAAAGCCTCGTTCAGTGTTGCTGTGCTCACAAAGGATGACATTTATTCCTTGGGAAGCAGCATCTAAAACATCATGATGGGACATCTCACCTGCCAACAAAAACCAAATACTTGTATGTTAGACATAGAGTCTGTGGAACACTGAACCATAACAACAAAAATACAGATTTTGTATTCTGTATGAAGTAAAATAGAGTAAAGCAGAACTAGCTTACATACATGTCTAGAAAGCCATGTCTAACTTCTCTTATGTGTTCTTCAATTGAAAGAGAGCATGAGTGTGCAAGCATGCACATTCTACTGAGAATTCCAACTTCCTTCTGTTAGGCAGACTCAAGACAAGTACCATAGTAACTGGTACATCCAACAGTATCTCATACTGCAGGAGCCAGACCTATAAGAGCACCCACTCAAGTGTTTTTACAATAAAAATAAATGACCATTGCTAAGTAAAAATGGGCATTCAGAGAGTTTTGTATGTAAGTAATATAAACAAGTATCTCAGGAGAAATATCCTTTGTTTTGTTTTGTGAACACCAATATTTTCAGCATTAACCCTACTGTAATTCATAAGGATAAAAGGAGCTTATGGTATCTCTAGATTAGAAACAGGAATTATTTTCCTGTGACTTAGGCAAAATTACTAGAAATTCTGAAGTTATGGAAAGAGGATCTCATCTCTTGTGAAGAGATTTTGGTAAAACTCAAATATAATGTTTTAAATTTTTAAAATACCGTTTGTGAATTTGATGACTTCTAATTTAATAGCAAATATGTACTGTGCACATTTTTATTTGTTCATTAAAAAGCATAATTTTAAAATGTAGTTAGACATGAAGGTATAAAAAAATGAAGAAAAATGTTATTCCCAATCTCAGAACCTATTATACAGCCATGGTAGTCAAAATAGCCTGGGACTGGTATAGTAACAGACACATAGACCAGTGGAACAGAATTGAGAACCAAGATAAAAATACATCCACCTATGGACAGCTGGGCTCAGGTATAGCAAGGATTGTGAGGCTGGCACAAGACCAGGTAATGTTCCGTTCTGCTGTGCATAGGCTGTTATGAGTCCAACGGCACCTAACAACAACAATAATAATGGACAGCTGATCTCTGACAAAGGGCTGAAACCCACTAAATGGGAAAGAGACAGTCTCTTTAACATATGGTGCTACCAAAACAGATATCATTTGTAGAAAAAGGTACAGAATCCATACCTCACACTATATTCAAAAACTAACTCAAGATGGAGCAAAGTCCTAAATGTAAAACCTAAAACTAAAGATCACCAAAGAAAAACTAGAGGCCAACTTAGTGGCCCTAATTTATGACATAGTCTACCAAACATAATTGAAAATTTACACCAGCCGATGATTATCTACACAACTGGGACCTCCTAGAAATTAAATATGTGCACCAAAAGATTTCACAAAAAAAGTAACAAGAGAACCTATAGACTGGGGAAAATTTCTAGGCAATGACATATTGCACAAGGGACTAATCTGCAAATGTCAACACCTCAACAACAGATAAACAATGCAATTAAAAAGTGGGCAAAGGACATGAAGAGACACTTCATCAAAGAGATATTCAGGTGTCCAATGAATGCGTAAAGAGATGCTCACAACCATTAGCCATTGCTGCTGCTGTTAGGTGCCACTGAGTGGGCTCTGACTCACAGCAACACCACGTACAACAGAATATATCCTCTCCAAGGAATGGTCCCTTCTGACAACATGACCAAAGTAAGTGACGCAGGAGTAATGTGTGGCCATTCTCACTTCCAAGGAACATTCCAGCTGTACTTCTTCCAGGACAGATCTGTTTGTTCTTCTGGCAGTCCATGGTACTGTCAGTATTCTTCACTAACACCACAAATCAAAAGCATCAACTCTTCTTCAGTCTTCCTTATTCATCATCCAGTTTTTATGTGCATTGAGGTGACTAGAAAATACCATGGCTTGGGTTAGACGCACCCGAGTCTTTAAAGTGACATCTTTGCTCTTCAAAACTTTAAAGAGGTCTTTTGCAACAGATTTGCCCAGGGCAATACATGGTCTGCTTTCTTTTTTTTTTTTATTGTGATTTGGGTGAAAATTTACAGAGCAAATTCACTTTCCATACAGCAGTTCACATAGACTTTGTCTCATGACATTGACTACAATTTACCCCAATGCAACAGCTCCCCTCCCACTTCCTCCCGATAGTCACCTCTTCCCTATGTCCATCCCTCCATGCACTCGTGCCCCCTGAGCTGTCTGCCTGGACATAAACAGCCCTTCTTTCTCGCAGGATTGTTTTCTCCAAGGAGTGTATCTACCTCGGGTAAATGTTCAACTCATATTCCTGTCTTTTTTTTGGCTGGAAGCCACAGGTGTGGGTTCAGTTCCAGACCTGAAGGCTAGCCAGGGGCCATAGTCTCAGTGGTTCCACCAGGCCCTATCAGACCAGCAAACCTGGTCCCCTCTCTTTATTTTTTTCCCAAATCATTTTGAATTTTGTTCTACATTGCACGGTCTGATTTCTTGACTGCTACTTCCATGGGTTCGTTGACTGTAGATCCAAATAATATGAAATCCTCGACAACTTCAATCTTTTCTCCATTTATCATGATGCTGCTCACTGGCACAGTTGTGAGGATTTTCATATTCATTATGTTGAAGTGTGCTCCATACTGCAGACTGTAGTCTTTAATCTTCGTCGGTAAGTGCTTCAAGTCATCCTAACTTTCAGCAAGCAAGTTGTGTCTACATATCGCAGGTTGTTAATGAGTCTTCCTCTAATCCTGATGCCATGTTCTTCTTCACATAATCCAGCTTCTCAGATCATTTCCTCAGCATACAGACTAAGTATGATGAAATGATACAACCCTGATGCACAACTTTCCTGATTTTAAACCATGCAGAATCCCGTTGTTCTGCTCAAATTGCAGCCTTCTGGTCTATGCACAAGTTCCTCATGGGCACAATTAAGTGTTCTGGAATTTCCAACAGCCACTCCATGGGAGAAAGATGAGGCAGTCTGCTTCCATAAATATTTACAGCCTTGGAAACTCTATGGGGCAGTTCTCTTCTCTCCTATAGGGTTTGTGTTAGACTGGGTTCTCTAGAGAAACACAAAAACCAGCAAAGTGTATATATATATATTTATAGAGAGAGAGAAAAAAAAATTTATCTTAGGAAAATGGCTCACAAGCATATAGAAGCCGACAAGTCCCAGCCGACAAGTCCAAGTCTCTGGAGGAGATGGGCTGGCGGCCGCTTTAGCTTTCGTAAGCGCAGGGGGCCGAGAGATTCAAGGCTGGCAGGCAGTACACTGGTTGTTGACTCCAACAAAATCCAAGATCTCCAGGCCGGGTGGTGGGCTAGTCACTCACGGAAGTCTGTAGTCCGCACACGAGGGTTCCAATCCCTCCAGGAATGTGGCTCTTCCCAGGATGTCCCTGGATATCTTGGAAGCAGGCCACACCCCTAGGGAAACTCCCCTTGGGCAGACTGGCCACTCAGAACACAGTCATCTGATCCCATCATGGGAACAACCACACAGAACTGGGGTCCAGCCAAGTTGACACACAGCTCCAACTACCACAGGGTTGCTATAAGTCAGAATCACACTTTGAAATTTTCTGTTCAACTCTTTTACTGCATCATTTCTTCCTTTTACTTTAGCTACTACACATTCAAGAGCAAATTTCAGAATCTCTTCTAACTACCATTTTGGTCTTTTCTTTCTAATGACCTTTTGCTTTCTTTAAGTATGATGTCCTTGATGTCATCCCACAACTCATGTGATCTTCAGTCATTACTGTTCAGTGTGTTAAATCTGTTTTTCAGATAGTCTCTAAGTTCAGGTAGGATATATTCAAAGGCCATACTTTGGCTCTCATGGACTTGTTTTTAATTTTCTTCAGCTTCAACTTGAAAATGCAAAGGAGAAATTGATGGTCTATTCCACAGTTGGCCCCTGGCCATATTCTGACTGATGATACTGAGCTTCTCCATCATCTCTTTCCACAGATGTAGTTGTGGAAACGTCCACGTGTATAATTGCCACTTCAGTTGTTGAAAAAGGTTTTGCAGTGAGTAAGTTATTAGTCTTGCAAAATTCTATCATGTGATCCCTGGTGTCATTTCTATCACCAAGGCCGTATTTTCCAACTTCTGATCCTTCTTCTTTCTAACTTTCACATTCCAATTACCAGTAATTATCAATGTATCCTGATTGCGTGTTTGATCAACTTCAGACTGCAGATGTTGATGAAAATCTTCAATTTCTTCATCTTTGACATTAGTTTAAGTGCATAAATTTGAATATAGTTATATTAACTGGTCCTCCTTGTAGGTGTATGGATGGATATTATCCTTTCACTGACAGTGTTGTACTTCAGGACAGACCTTGATATGTTCTTTTTGACAATAAATGTGACACTGTTTCTCTTCAATTTGTCATTCTAGGCATAGTAGAATACGAGCTCTGGTGGCATAGTGGCTAAGGCATTTGACCGCTAACCAGAAGGCTGGCAGTTCAAATCCACCAGCCACTCCTCAGAAGGAAGATTGGGCAATCTGCTTCCATAGTGATACCACCTTGGAAACCCAAGGAGGTGTTGCTATGAGTCGGACCAGACTTGACGGCAATGAGTTTGGTTTTTGGTTTTGGCATAGTAGACTGTATTACTGTCTGACTCAAAATGGCCAATAACAGTCCTTTTCAGCTCACTAATGCCTAGGAAGGGTATTTATCTTCAAGTGTTCTATTACAGGAAGGTTAAATAAATGCTGAACATCAATTTTAGAGACAATCTAATAATAAATTGTTAAATAATTTCATCCTTCCACAAAGAATACTGTATGTTCCCCATTCTGGTATAGATGCCTATTATTTCAGTTTCAAATATTTATTAGATACCATCTATGTACGAGGTGCTGTCCTAAAATCTACTATTTTTTACTTGTAAAAAAGAATAAACCAAGGTGGAAAAGGTTATAGAAAAAAGATAGCTAAGCCACGCAGGGCTATATTAGTTATGTGAGCATGCCGCTTTTAAAACTTGGCCAGCTAATCATGAAGGCACCTGCACTCTAGGGTGGATCTGGGCAGGAAGAATGCATTTCCTACCATTAGAAGAAGTTCTCCATTCTACCCGACCTAGCTACGCACACTGGCGTAACCCACCTGATCTAACTTGGAGTGCTTGGGAAAGGCCCAAAGAATTTTAATTCCTATGATGGGTGTTGGGAAAAATTACGATGACATCCACCTTTTATACCAATTTGTTCAGAATGTTTCTGTTTCCCTAGAATCAGTAGCTAACTCTACTTCTGATATAACTTCTGCACTCCAAACTGAAATAGCCTCTATCCAAACTGTTGTACTTCAGAATTGGGTAGCTCTAGACCTTATGCTAGTAGCACAGGGTGGGGTATACATACACATCAATGCCATCTGTTGCTCATTAGTTAATGCATCAGGACAAACAGAACAAGATCAACAGGATATTCATCTCATCGTTCATAAATTACAACAGGACAGGGAAATGATGCGGCAGGATTTAACCCCCACCTTTGGGATAGACTTTTCTTGGCTCACCTCTTGGTTACCCAATTTAGGGTGTTTGAGATCTTTATTACAATACTCCTCTTATTAACAATAACACTCTTTACTTGCTGTTGTATTCAATGTCTACCTAGGTGCTTGCCTGTCTTCAAACCTCCAGAATTACAAGCTACACTGCAGATACCCCTAGTCTCTTCTTCCCGGACTATGGCCAGAAGATTCCGTGAACTGTCCAAACTACAGGAAGCTTAATGACCAGGGATTGAGTTCCACCACCTTCGCCCCCCGGCCAGCAGGAAGCAACCAGAATGAGTCGTCGCCCGCCCCCCCCCCCTTCCCAAAACTGTGGAACAGTAACAGTTCTTAGGGGGAATCAGGAAACCGAGTAAAGTGTTCCTCAAGAACGTGGAACAGTATCTATTAAAGTGGGAACTGAAACCTAGTAAAGTAAAAACTCTTTCCCCCACCCTGGCACCTGGATGGGGATAGATAAGTAAACTAAATTACCCCAAACTATTTCCCCACCCTGGACAGATGAGTCTTCAGTTCCTTAAAGAACTGAATGGAAAACATTCCTTCCTGCAGATGGCAGACTTCCTAGAAGTATTTTAGAAACAACTTGTAAATTAACTCTGGCCCAGGGACATGCACAATAGTGCAGAAGGGAAGTATTTTAGAAACAACTTGTAAATTAGCTCTGACCCAAGGGCATGGTAATAGTGCAGAAACAACTTGTAAATTAACTCTGGCTGGGTGACAAAAGGAACAAAAGTTAATTGGGAACCCTCTCCCCTCTGCCCAAGCCCCTATTAGCTGATAACAGGAAACTAGTGTGACCACCCCAAATTCCTCAACCTTTTGTGAATATGCACCACCTCCTCTCCTGAAACCTACAAAAACTGTGTTTTGATGGCACTGGGGGGGGCTGCGCTAGATCTGGGTACTAAACTACCCCTAACTCCTTGTACTGCTGCTTTGCAATAAATAATTTTCTCTCCTTTCAAAAAAAGAAAAGAAAAAAGATAGCTAAGGTACAAAGGCAGTCCTACCTGTGAGGTAAAGGTCAGCCTCTACACCCTGCAGAACACTGCTCCCAGAACCAGCACACAGGGCCACGACTCTGACTTGGGATTCTTAAAGGTAAAGGGAAAAAGAGACCAACACATTACAATTTGCCTTCATTTTAATATTATAATTTGTATTGAGAATCCTGAATAAAATGTAGATTTCATTTCGGTCTCATTTCAGTACATGAATTTTGCTTATTAACTTTTGAACACTTTTTAGTACAGGTATCCTTGGTATTGTGTAACTACCCCAAGGCAGAGTTATTATCCCTCTGGATGTGGCTGCATAAACCCACACAGGACAACCACTGAATGGTATTAGTGCCCCAGCTCTAGGCTTTATCTCAGGGCTGCTAGGCAAAGTAACTTAACCAGGGTCTCCAGACCACAGTGAGAGACAGGCAGGTACTCAATATTGTCAGGTGAGGATCTGAGGAATGAAAAGGGCTCATCAGACAACTGATTTGGCACATATTTTTTAATCTAATATTTATCTTCAAAGAGCATCCTCTGAAAAGCGAAAGAACACAAACCTTCAAGCCAAAATCCAACATGGACTTAGCACTCAGGTTTCTAGAATGGACACTTTACTAGTGTTCGCTCCAGTCTGGCAGCATGGTACTTCGGGAACAAGCTTTGGAGCTGGATCAGAATTCAGATCCTATCTCTGCCATCCATTTTCTTCAGAAACCAATTCTTATGAGTTGTTTGTTCTGACTGTAGGCTTCTGGAGATATTAGTTGAGTTCTCTCAACCCTATTTCCCTATAAAGTGAGAATACCACCTCCCACATAGGTAACAACAGGCAGTATTTACTGTACTTATATGTACCAGTGTGCTAAGTTTGTCTCATGATCATATACTACCATACCTGAGGTTTTAGTATTTATGCAGTTTTACAGGGGAGGTGACTAAGAGACAGAAGCGTTAAATAATGTGTCCAAAGTCATGGAGAAAATAGACAGGGCAGACAAACAGGAGCACAGGTCATCTGACTTCAGAGTCCACACTCCTAATGCTATGTTCCACGGCCTTTGCAGGGGAAGCTAACATACTTAGGACACTCAGCAGAGTGCTAGGTTCACTGCAGGAGTTGAGTAAGTGTTCTGTTCATTCTTTTTGTTCCAAAAAGTACTGGGAAAGGCCAGAAGAAAAGAGAACAGCTGTGGGAGTCAGAAACTGTAGTGGACTAGATGACTTAATACAGTGCTTCACTGTACAACATGACCAGTATTGGAAAGTTCCAAGTTTTATGTTGTAACTGCAGCAATCATTATTTCCAGCTCTCTTCTTGGCACATGGTAGGACTACACTTCATGCCCTCCCTAGGTTGTGCTGAGCAACTTATTAATTCTGGATGCTACGTGGAACAGAAGTACCAAGTATCCCTTCTAGACTGGAGTTTTAAATTGATGATTTAAGATCCTCCACTCTTTCTCCCTCTATAACAGCAACCAATTTACAATGAACACACAGACTTACCCTGCTGACTTGAGATGAACATGAAGTGTGACTGAGAAGTACTCTGTGGTTTAAGCCATTGAGATGTACACCACACCATAACCTAGCCCATCCCAGTCGGTAAAAGAAACCAGTCATCTCCTACAAGCTGCTAGTATGTTTTCTAGCAGCCAAGCATTTCACCTCTGCCCAAGGTTATGGCTGAATATTATGGCAAAACAAAAGGGATATATTTACCTAAGGTCCTTCCTATCCCAAGACTAAGGCGAACATGAGATAGTTTTAGGTGTCTCTTAATTCGCTCAATAATGGTTGCCAAGGAGACAGATTCATCCAGTGTACATAACCGTCCCATTCCAGTATGTAGAAGCAGAGGCTGAAGAGAAACCCAAGTTAGAAAAACTGTTATAGAACAAACATCAAATGCTGATCAATAAAACATGTATACTGTGAGCTCCAGAATAACGTTTGAAGATACAAACCTGACAAAAACTTACTCTGACTTTTCTAACCACACAGCCTTCTGGGAAGGCAGACATTTAAATAAATAATCACAATCAAAGAGCTGTAATATAAGGTCAGTGCAAGTGTTGGGAGAGCACAATGGAATGATAAACGAAATGAGGCAGGGTTTGTGGAGAAAGGAGCTTGAAGAATCTGAGATCAACAAGGACTGGGGTGTTGAACCAGGAAGGAGTTAAAACAGGAATGCAATGCAGTACAGTGCGGCAGGCAGGGGTGGGGTGGGGTGAGAATGGGGAAAGCATTCTAGGCAGGACATGCTGTGGATGTGAATCTTAACAAAACATGGAGGTACTGACATCTGAATCGGGTGACTTCAGACCTAAATTAAAAGTCCATTTTGAATTTAAGTCAGATTTTAATTTCTACTTTTCTTAAGAAATGATTCAGCCTTTTCATCACAAGTTTTACTATTTCAAAAACAAAGAAGGCAGAAGTCAGGACTGCTAACCTAGGTAAAGAGTTACTTAGTGTCTGTTGAGAAGTTTTCAGGTGGCCCCAGAAAAGGTGCCTTTGTCAGCAGGCGGATGAGAAGCAGAACTGATCTTGTTAAATGAAGTTAGAACTTGTAAATAACTTTATAGCTAAGAAAGATACATACCAAGTCTTAGTCCCAAATGACTTTTCCATGCACTAGAATTTCCCACAGCCTTCCCAAATGACTTTTCCATGCACTAGAATTTCCCACAGCCTTCCTTCCGAGGAATAGCTGGTGAGTTTGAATCGCCAGCCTTCTGGTTAGCAGTCAAATGCCTTAGGCACTACACCACCAGAGCTCCTGTGTGTCTACTAGTTCTTTATAAATCTGTAACTAAGATAACCCATTTTCAGAAAATTTAAGCTCTGAATGAATGCTTTGTTAAACAACTCTCAGGATGTGATAAACTTGCTATGTACTTAATGTTTAAGTACATAGCTTTTGTCATGCTTTCTCCCTACCTCTACCTGCCTGTGAACACAAATCCTTTTAAACGCTTACTGTTCTCCCAGCAATTCGGAGCACTTGCATGGATGTCTAAAAGTGTCCCCATTTTGAAATTATTTATTCCTTCAATACGTTTTTTTTCCCCTAGTATCAGTCCAGTGTTTTCCACTAGGACAATGTGCAAAGGGGCCAGGCCTGTCCCAGAGCAACTGAGGACAGGTTCAAAGAACAGTACGGCTGGTGTACAGAGGATATGATGGGGAAGGAGAGGAACTAGAGGTACGGGCTGCAGCCGGATCATCAAGGACTCACAGTGACCCCTCCTTGGGTCTCTGAGGTGGTATCTCTATGAAAACACATTGCCCAGCCTTCTGAGGAGTGGCTGGTAGGTATGAACCGCCAGCCTTCTGATTAGCAGTCAAATGCCTTAGGCACTACACCACCAGAACTCCCTTTTTTTTTAATGCTAGCTGGGAAGGGGTTCCGGGACAGGGGAGGAGTCAGCTGCAGGGATCCAAGTGAGGGGAGGGAACCCAGGCCACGCCCCACAAGCAGCAAGGTGGGAAAGTGGGGGAAAGGACAGAAAAAGGCCAGGGAGACAGGGACAGAGCCAGGAGTCAGCAGTAGGGATCCAGGTCAGGGGAGGCTGGAGAGGTTTCAAACAGCTAAGGGAGACAAACTTGTCTGTCGGTTTGTCCTACTGTGGTGACATGTTGCTCTGAGTCTTGAGGCTGTGCCAGCAGTGTTTCAAACCCAGCGAGGTGCACATGGTACAGAGGTATCAGAGAGGCTTGCAGACTGAGACAGGCTAGGAAGAAGGAAGAAGCCATCCACTTCTCAAAAGAACTGGCCAGGAATTAAACCCACAACTGTGGTTTCCAGCCAAATAAAGTACAGGCAAGTGAGTTAAACATTTACCTCAAGTAGACACACGCCCTGGAGAGAACAATCATGGGAGAAGGAAGGGCTGCTTATGCACAGGGAGATAGCTCA